TCTAGTTTATTCTTTGAAGGAATTGGCTCTTCAGTTCATTGATTCTTTGTATTGAATTTAATCTAATTTCAATTAATTTCTTCTCTCATCTTTTATGACTTTCCTCTATGAACTGGGTTTGGGTTTAGGCTGTTGGGTTTTTTTGTTTTGTTTTGTTTTTTGTTTTTTTTGTTTTGTTTTGTTTTGTTTTGTTTTTTTAGTATCTTAATGTATATCATTAATTATTTGAGCTATTTTTTTTTTTTTTTTGTACCAGGGATGGAACTCACAACCTCATGCTTGCCAGTCAGGTGCTTATACCACTGAGCTAAGTCCCTGGCCCTTGAGCTATTTTTCTAATGTGAGCAGTCACTTAGGAATACCTTCATTGTATCTCAAAGATTCTGGTGTATTATCTGGCATTATTTTTTAATTCTAAGAACATGTTTAATTTCCCCCGTGATTTATGATTCATTGGATATTCAAGAGTTTCTTTAATTTTCAGGTGACACCACAGTTAACCATTACAGACTCCACGGAAAGGTGCCAAACAATTCCCAGGGTATGGTAGTTAACTGTATCAGTTTAAGTCAAAAATGCCTAACTGATTGGATGAGTAATTCTGGATGTGGCTGAATGGATTACTAAAGACAGAAGACCCACTGTGGGGTCTTCTGGTCAGGTGTAAAATTTTTGTTGTTTCTTTTGCAATTTCTAGTTTCCATGACAGCATACATGGAATGACTTAAATTATTTTCTATTTATTTAAACAGGCTTTATGGATTACTATTTGGCCTATTTTGAAGAAAGTGTCATGTGCTCCTGAGAAGACACTGTGTTCTTTTCTAGTAGGCTAGAAGACTCTGTAGAAAACCATTAAGTTTACTTGAGGGGGTGGTTAAACTTTGTTAACTTTTTGTTTAGTTGTTATCTCTATGAAAATGAGGTATTGAGGTCACTCTTTATGATTGTTGGTGCAGATTTGATCTTCCATGCCCAGGAGTGTTTGCTTTATGAACAGAGGTGCATCAACATTCAATACATATGTATTTACAAATATGTTTACAATTGTTCTCTCTCCTTGTTAGTTTTTTTGTGGGTCCTAGAACTGAACCCAGGACCTTGAGCTTGCCAGGCAGTGCTGTACCACTGAGCTATGTCCTTGGCTGGGTTGTTGTCTTTAACTAACACGCAGTGACCTTTTTGCCTCATCTGATCAATATTTGCTTGAAGTTTACTTTGTGAATCAAATTTCTATCCCTGCTTGCCTTGGGGGCCTAGTGAATGGAATATGGTTTTCCATCATCCAGTTTCTAGTCTATGAATTTCTGTTGGTATGAAATGAGGCTCTTGAATGCAACAGACTGTGGGGATTTTTTTTTTTAATCCAGTTGATCAAGTCTGTCTTTTGATTGGGGAGTGGAGGCCAATTACATTGACAGTTATTCTGAAGGTACTGACATTCCTGTCATGGTATTTTTTTGTTGTTGTTGATGCCTCTATTTTTCCCTTTTGCTTAACTGCTCACCTTGCTTAATATGTTCATTCAATCTGAATTTGGGTTTTGTTTTCATTGTAACTGCTTAGGATATTCATTTTTTTTCCAGTGCTTGTTTGGTGTTCATGAATCAACTAAAGTGTTCTTTGCCATGGAATGTCCTTTTATCGCTATTAATTTTGAAAGCTCATTTTGCAGACTATGTTACTCTGAGTTCCAAGTGTTGTATGTTTAAAACACTGCACTACATGACTGATGTTGAAAAGTCTGCTGTTACCCTAATGGATTAACTTTTGTAAGTGACTTTTCCTTTTCTGTGACAGTTTTTAAAATTTTGTCTTTGTGTTGGACTTCTAGACTTTTGATGATGATGTGTCATAGGACAGCTTCTTTATTATTAATCATAGTTATTGCCATTCTGTGAGTCTTGCTTACCTGTATGCTATTTCCCCACACTTGGAAAGTTTTTCATCTGTACACATTTTTTTTCCACATGTACTGTCCTCAAATTTCTCTAACTCCAATTAGCTTTAGTCTTAAGTGTCATCTAGCAGCTGTTGGAAATTTTTCTTGCTTGCTTACAATTTTTAAGATTTCTCTAAGTAAATTTTATGTTGCTCCTGATATCTTCAGAGATGTTCACACTGGTCATCTCTGCTGTTTGAGTTTAACAGAATTTTTTATTTCACTCAGTGCATATTAGAGATAGATACAATGGAAGGAATATAAATATACAAGGATTTATAAGGCAGGTTTACAGTGGCCTTCTACAATCAGTGTGGAAGAGTGCAAAGGGCTCTGTCAGTGTGCTGCAGATCCAAAGGGTCCAGTCAAAGGCAGAAGGCTTGGAGCTCACTGCAGAGTCCTGTGTGAGTCTGTATTGGGAGGCTGAGCGGCCTGTGATACAAGGCTGGTGGCTCTGTGCTGGAGGTCAGGAGACGACATCCATGGTAATGGTGAAGACAGAATCTCCTCTGAAGAAACAGAAGTGACCCTTCCTTCTTCATTCCCCTTTTTATTGCATTTAGGCTCCAAGCTAACACCCACATGGGTCTTGTCTTTAGTAATCCATTCAGCCACATCTAGAACTATACTCATCCAATGAATTAGGTATTTTTGACAAACTGATAGTTAACTACCACCCCCTGGGAGCTGTTTGGCACCTTTCTGTGGAGTCTGTGATGGTTAACAGTGGTGTCACCTGAGTGAGAAATCCCCAGTAACTGGCTTGTCACAGTTCTAGGCGTGCCTGATGGATCTACTGAAGAGGGAGACCCACCCTGAGTGAGGGTAGCACCACCCAACAGGCCTGTAGCCTGCGTTAAATACAAAGGGAAAGAAATGGAAGTTCCGTGTCCATCTCTTCAAAGGCTCTCCAGTCTTTGCTATTACTTTTGGATGAGCTCCAGGCTTCCAGCAGACTCTTCAGTGCACTCCAGGCCTTCACCTTTTGACTGGACAGTTAGAATTCCTAGCGTGCAGATGGCTCCTTTGTATACTTCCACACCTCGCTCTTGTAGGTGCCACTCTGTAAATAAATATTTATATATTATCTGTTCCCCAAGTAAACACTGACTTAGAGTGTGGGAGACAACTCCAGTGACTCCCTTTGAATCCAAAACAATTGCTGTGACTTTGATTACTTGGAGACTCATTTCCTTATACTGATATGTAAAAGGCTGGCGAGGCTATTTCCTTCTCTCCAATTGGCTCTGAGCATTGCAAATAATAAGGCTGCTGGGGTGCTAATGTGCAAAGTCTATAGCCATCAGACAGTCCCGTTTCCTCGCATGGTGCTCTCCACAATACAGGATTGAGCTGGTGAGATGTTAGAGCAAATAGCTCCTGGAATGTTAACTGGGCAGGAGCCTCAAGATTAGAGGCTATGACTCCCCAGGACACAAGAGTTTGCATATCAGAAACCGAAGCTGATGGGGCTGGGGATTTAGATCAGCGCGTAAGCACCTGCCTTGCAAGCAGGCAGTCGTGAGTTTGATCCCTGGTACTGATAAAAACGAAAAAAAAAAAAAAAAAAAAAAAAAGAAACTGAACCTGATAGCCCCCCAAAACAATTCCATTGCTACCTTAATTGGGTTATGTAAATTGATTTTTCTGCCTATCTTTATCTCTGCACCTTACAGAAATGTCATTCTTGCACCTGGCCAGCCAGCTCATTACTCAGTAATCCCCGACATTCTCACTATCACCCATCCCTGAGCCACCCCCTTTCTTCACAAGATAATAAATGCTGGGAGAGGCCTAGGATCGAGGCCTTTGTCTACATGTCCTCATGAGGATTGGAGTTATGACCCCTTGGCTGCCCTTAACTTGGAACATGTCTTGGTGTCTTTACTCTCGCTGTGGGTTGGATTGGTGATGGCAGATTGGAATTAACCTGCTGGGATTCCAATAATGTCTCCATGGGATTATAAATATAACTCTTTGGATTGTGTGGAAAACTAGAAAGAGGATTACAATACTTGGATGACTGAACTTGATATTTGCGTTTACAATATTAGAGAATTCTCTTTCAAGACAAGGTCTTGCCATGTTGTTCAGGCTGGCCTTGAACTCACTATATAGCCTAGGTTGGCCTCAAACTCATGATGATTCTGCCCCAGCCTCCTGAGTGCTGGGAATACAGGCATATATCTTGATTACCCCCACCCCACCCCCCATCCCCCTCCGTTGAGGCAGGGTCTCACTGTGTAGTTCTGGCTGACCTTGAACTCACCATGTAGTCTAGGCTGGCTTCAAACTTGTGGTAATTCTCCAATTTCAGTCTTGAGTAATAAAATCACTGGTGCGTGCCACCATGCCTGGTAAATTTCTTTGGAACATTTTTCATCCATGTTTTGAATTGTTTTGGTTAGCTCTTTCAATGTTTGATAATAATCATAATGGTTAGTTTGTCTGATAGTTTCACTACCCTTTGGGTCATATGAGTTCACTTTCTTTGCTTACTCAGGATATCCACTTTTCTCCAGCACTGATTCAGAGACACTCACCCTTCTGTCACCCATAGGCAGCCATCTTGTCTCCTTGTCACTTTCCGAAAACCGCTCTGGAAGTCCTCTTTGTTGGATATCTTTCGATTACACTGTTGTGGCTGCCTCACTGTTTTGGATCAATTCAAAATGTTTACCTTTCATGGTCATTTTCACTTTAGAGAAGAGCCAGAAGTCACACAGTGACAGATCTAGTAAATAGGGCAGATAAAGACACACCATACTGTTTTTACAAGCCTGCTTTCCCACTGGATGGCACGCAACAGCAATATTCACTGTACTTTTGACCAGTCTATAAAGATATAAAACAGAAAGTAGCAAGAATGATAGGGTAAGAGTGTTTGAATTGACAGATTATTTGGAGAGGGATTAATGTTAATCTGTCTCTTATTATAATAAACTTTTAAAATTTAAACATTCATATTTTGATCACCTCTTGGCAGGCGAGAATTCTACCACCGAGCCACCCATGCTTGATCACCTCTTGTATACCCAACAAACAGGCAAACACAATGTATTTTAAAAGCCGATCTATTTTAAAAGATCACACAATACGTAAATTATGTAGTGAAGAAACATCAAATAAGGCTGATGAATAAAAAGGCACATCTGGAAAGTTTAAGAGGAGTAGAAAGAATTGTTCTTTTCTTTCTAACGCAGAAGAGAAATACAGACATATTAAAATTATTTTTTCAGGTGGAAGTTTCTGTCAGTGGAAGTGATTAACACCGGCTTCTTTTCCCTTTGTCCAGGGCAGTCTTTGCTCTCCTTGTCTTTTGAGAGGTGTTCAGTCTTCTGCTATGTAGATGCGATACATCATGGCGACAGCCAGAGCTGAGATGGCTGGGATCACCCAGTTGGTCCACCAACTACAAAGACATGAAAAATGATGCTTGCATGATGTTCAACGCAGGGAACATATTTGCTTTGTCTGGCAGAAAACTATCACAGCATGTTTTCCTTACCTCTTTACTCAATCTGGCTAGAAAGTAACTCAGCTTTGCTAGAAGTGATGTGAGTGTAATGCATGCCTTGAATACTAGCAATCACTCTCTTCTGCTGGTGTTATGACAAAACTAACGTCCCACCAGCTCTGCTTAAAGCAGTTTCCATAAACTTTATGCAGAGCTGTAGTCCTTTTCCCAAAACACTGCCCAGAAGCAATGACTTTCTCAAGGACATAAACTCTGGATTATGTATCACAAGGTAACAAAAGTATTTTTGACTTGTTTTGTTATAGATATGTATATTAATTTTTTAGAGGTACTAAGTTCAGAATCAGAAGCCATAGGTTCTCATTTTGGATGAACTGTCAGCAAGTACTCTAGTCAAGAGAAGATCAGGTCCCCTGCGCTGTAAAGTGAAAGGATCTAAACCAGATGGGTAGTAAGGTGGGCAGCTATACCTCAACTCGAGTACTCCAGTTCTGCTTTGAAAATCTTATCCTGACATTTGTGTTTGCTGTATTTAAATTGCTAAGACACAGTATGCCCAAAGTAATTAACCTGTGACCTATGAATTAAACTAAATTATAAAATGTCTTTTAAAAACCCACTGTTTGGTTTTGATACATAAAATTTCATTTCTATTTACTTACTATGAATTACAGATTATGGGTTAAATCAGGACCGAGACTGACAAGAGCTTCAATGTAAACTTTGAATTGATTTAAATTAGATTGGAATAGATTTAGATTTCAATATCTTAGACAACAGAAATTAACATATAGTCTTCGGCATCCAAATTATATATACTTATTTCCTATCATAAACTTTTTATTCTTTAGTATTTTTAATACATGAAAGGTCAAGCTCAATAAGATTACAGTGTGATTTTTATCTCATTGGGGTCTGGTGAGTTCTCCACTTGATACTTAGAAGACAGCGTATCAGTGGAAAGTGAGGTAAAGCAGTGTCGGGAGGTAGGGAAGGTTCCAGAATACCAAAAGACTAGATAGTTAAATCTGACATGATGAAATACAAACACATAGTTTTGAGGTTAGGTTCTCTATTACCATAACAACCACCAAAAAGAAAGTATTTTGTAAGTCAATACGGTAGAGCTGTCAAAAATACAAATATGAGCTCAGACTAACAAACACATCAGGGCCTCACTAGTTTCAATTGTAGGTACAATTTAATAACAAAAGAAACTGAACTATGTTTAGGGAAATACAGTTACCAAATATCAATGAGGAAGGAAATGGAAGTGATCCTACAGGGGCACTCATGGGATTGACTGCCTGAGGCGGGGAACATGGACATTCTATTTGTCCTATAGGTTTCTTTGTGCAGATACAATCATAGGATGAGAGGGAGTCATTACGGGATGTGCTCATAATTGTCCTGAAGGCTGGGACAGAAAGCATTGAGTAGCCTAGGCACAGTGAGGAGAGGGCCCTGGGATGACAGGGAGGAGGCACAGTAGAAGTCCACGTCCTGAGGGTCAGAGAGACGAGGTGTCCAGTCCAATTCTGACTTGAGCCTCGTAAGCCAATGTGGCTAAAAAGCAAAACAAAACAAAACAAACCACTACCACATACCTGGAATTAGACTCAACAGTAGTAATAAGAGTTTCCTGAAACAACAGAGAAAAAGTAATGTAAGGTAATGTCAAAACATTCTGTTGACTGAGCCCAGTTTTAAAATAAGATCACAGTGTCTTATTCCATGACTTCTTTAAAATGTTACTAAAAGGAAAATTACATTATTACCTTTACACCAAAATGCCACCTTTTTTCCAAAATGCAAAAATAATTATCTACATTTAAATTGCTTAAGAATATAACCTTGAAAATTTGAAAACATTTAAGAATAATACTTATGTAAAAAAATGTCCTGCACACAACAGGCATCTAAATACTTTTCCATAGAAATTAAAAACATATCCATGAATACATACACATACCACCATCATCGTCTTATGAAGGGCAGTTTAATCTTCAAAAGCATAAAATGTGCAATAAAAACATTAATTGGATTTTACTTGAATCCAATAGAATGTAAAAATATACATTAAAATATACATCAACAAACAAATAAACAAAAAACCCCCAGTGATTTCAAGTTCTAAAATTACAGATCACCTTTTTTCTGTCCTCCTCTAGCACTGACAAGGAGGTACCAGTAAGGTGCCTGTGGGCCACCTGGCCTGCTCTTCCGGGGGTGTACCTTCCAGCACCTCCTGAGAGGAGCCCCCCCTCTGAGGCCAAGTGAACTGACAATGCCTATGGAGAAATATGTTCACAACTGGCTGGAAAACTAAGGCCTATTGCAACAAATTTTTTCTGTGCTTTCATAGCATGTTAAAAGCATTTTTAGTACTCCACACCAGTAAAATATTAGTGCTTCAAACAAAGTAGCCATAAATGAGGCAGCTTCAGCAAAGACTCTGATGTCCACAGTTTCCAGCAGCACAGATAAAAAAGCGTTAGGAAAACAATCAGCTGCTTGCTTCGAAGCAAATCCACTCTGCAGAGCATGAAGCCTGTTAAAGACACTTCCCGGGAAAGGGAAACCATGCGGAGGGCAGAAGCGAAGCAGTCACGAGATACACCAACCTTCAACACCACCCTCACGGCTCCTGACATGGCAGAGGGGGGATTAGTTACTTAAAAAGAAAACATCACATTAATCATCTGTTTCAGCAATTTTCAATTTTAGTGTCTATAAAATATACTCAGCTATCGCTGAATTTTCAAATTTTGTATACATAAATAAAATTAATAAAGATTAGCAGAAATCAACTATGCAAATAATGTTACTGAGCTATTAGAAGCAAGACATCACCAGTTCCCAGAGCAAACAGTTTGCTGACAATGGGGAGTTAGACACAAAACAGTACACAGAGGGCAAACACACACAACTGTGACTGTCACACCGGGCATGAGTGTGTACATCTCACCGAACTTGCAGCTTTCCGTGCAACCTCAGCTAGCTTCTCCCACTTACAGACACCGGTTCTAACGCTAAAACACCTCCCTACTGCTAACACACTGGCTGCTAATATGTAAAAATGCTGCTGCCCCATTCTCACCATGAGCAACAAGGATTCCCGAAAACAGAACTTAAAAAAAAAAAACAAAAACATTTCTTGGCTCTGTAATCCAAGCCTGAAGTACCACTTAGCATGCAGATACAAAAGCAAATCGTCTTTAGGGGCCAATGCTGTGACATATCTCTCAGTGGAGTTTAGGGATAACACTATCAAATACGTCAACAATTAAAGGGGAGGAAGATTCTAGTTTTTAAGACAAGCTCTGCCACCTCTTTAATCCACAGCCTGGATGCATTCCAACTTCTAGTAAAGAAAGATTAACAATCAGAATAGTGCCTAATAAGTCATATAAAAAGTATAAATTCTAAGTTACATATTAAAACATACAAAGCCCAAGAAACTTGCCAATTGGCCAGTTTGTCTAATTTAGCTCATTCTTTAGTGAAAAGACTTTCTTCCCTAAATCATATGGACATGTGCCTCCGTGAGAAGTGCAGAGCCTGGGGAAGCTCAGGAGACCACAATGACAAGCCTGAGATGTGTGCCGACTCAGCGCTGGGCGAGTGAGCTTGGGCAAGGTGCTCAGCCAAGCCGCCTCATCTTCCTCACCCTCGGCAGGGCCGTGGGTCTCACAGGAACAACGTGACAGGCAAATAAAAATTTATGAAACAATGCTTTGAACATTACAACCATGAAAGGTCATTGCTACTTTTAACACATTCCACCTAAGCAAGTTTGATATATAGAGAGAGATATGTTTAACAAAAAAATGTGTAATTTCTATGTACAGAAATATCTTAATGTGGCAATGTAACACTATAGCTCCTTCGGGCAGGTTCAAGCTAATTATCTTCAGTGCACCGTATTTCATAATTCATCTAGGTTATTTTAACCATCTAGATTATTTAACTTTTTTTCTTTCAGTGCTGGGGACAAATAGCAAGGTCTCGGCACGTTACTGTCATACTACTGAGCTATACCACTACCCCAAGCAGGGAATTAAAACACACACACACACACAGAAATAAAAAAGAAATTAGAAGATAGATAAATAGAGAAAAGAAATCATGCCTTCCTATGAAGCAGGCTCTGCTATGCTGATCTGTAAGTCTCAGCCAGAGGAGAAACCAAACCTTCCTATGGAGCAGGGCCCACCATGTGGATCAGAAAGAGCCTCAGCCAAAACAAAAACAAGCAGAAAATATCACAAAACTTTCTTTTCAGCGAGCTAACAGAAGCTAGTGTTAATGAAACAAATACATTTAAGTACTTTTGAATCAACAACATAGGTAATTAAATTCTGGCTTCTCTTAGTGCACTGAAGAGAAAGTTTTGTGCTATTATCTGTTTCTTTTTTGTAAAAGAGAATCTTGTCTTGTACTCTGAGAGACTATTTTGAAGATAATGATACAGTATATTAATTATTGTTATTCATTTACTATTTTGTTATGCAATTTTCTTTTCATAAAAAGAAAATCAGACTGTGGTACACATTTTCCAGTCTTGAAATAGCTAGAATACAGACACACAATTAAGAAATATCTCTTTTCTTCTTTAAACAAAAACACAAAGAAGATAGAACTAGAAAAATGGCCACACATTTTCTTATATTTCATTTTGTTTATTGCCTCTGAAGTAACTAGAAAGGGCTGAGGATATAGCTCAACACACAGTGCCTACCTGGCAAGTGTGAGGCCCTGAATTCCAGTCCCAGTTAAAAAAAAAAAAAAAAAAAACTAGCATAGTCAAAATGAAAAGATTTATACTTTCTGTTATTTACTTGAAGCAAAATTTCCCCCACAGTTATTCAATTATAATTTAGTTCATAATAAAACACTCAAAAGCTCATACATCCGTAAAATCACAGAAGAGAGCACAAAAATGTTTAAATAGTGAGTCAGACTCTGCTGAGATCTTCCATACCCACCAAGCTGATCAGACACGAAGTGATACAGTGATGCACACAATAGCTCACCCTACCACCGTGAGCTGCGAACACTTACTTTAATGTAGAAATCTTGATTCTCAGAATTGAGCGTATAAACTTGCTCTGTCCCAAAATAATCCAAGAATTGAAGGGACAGGTGGGTTAAATACACAACTACTGTATGCACCGAATACTACTGCAGCAAAGAGCAGTGGGTGACAGTACCACACAGAGCACAGCACACACGTATTCTGAATGTAATCGATGAAGTTTGATGGGAGCTGGCCTCCAACAGGAGGCTGCTATGCGGGAACACACAGCCCCCTGTGTGCTTTCCGCTTCTGGGCACCACGGCCAGGGGCAGGATCACGAGCCCCCACAAATCCTTGTCTTCTAGCACATGAATGATTTGCACTAAGATATTAACATACTGAACACCATCAGGAAAAAAAAAAAGACTTTTCTAGAGAGAATCCAGGAAAAAAAAAGAGAAAATTCCCTATATCACAATGTTTCAGCCATCCAAAAAGTAGCCTCAAAAACAAACAAAAAAAGCGATTTAGTCTAATGATCTTACAGTAAGGAGTCTAAGTCTAAGCAACTACCCCAGATACCTTTTGAACTTTTAAGCCCATTTTTTATCTTCCTGAAACATTCATATCACTAACACTGAAGTTAAGCCTCTTTTTTTTTTTGAACAGAAATACAAAGGAAAATAATACAAAGGAAACTGTTTTGTACTCAACAGTACTACTCGAGACTGTCATGGAACTGTCTGAGGACTGAGGCCACACGCCTTTACCCTCACGCCTCTGAATGAACGCTGTACCCTGCAGAGGGAAGGGCACATCCCGTCAGCACCAGCAGCAGAGTCAGTTCCCCAGTTTGTACCACAAGCTCTGTGGAATGCTGCTGTCCGTCCTCTCTCCAGGACCACCAGCAGCATACATCAAGGGAAAAAACGGTACTTTCTTCCTGTCATTTGTTTGAAGCAACACTTTCCTTCATTCTTTAACTAATGACCAGGAAACATTTTGCCTGCTTGTACTTTTTAGATACTTTGGCTGCTCCCATCCATTCGTACTCTGTTTATCTTCAAACATAAATAAGAAGACAGCTCTGAAGGAAGAACTAGTAAACCGGTGTGTAAAATGCAGCTGCTGGGCGTGGCAGCTCATGCCTGTAATCCCAGCACTCAGGAGGCTGAGGAGGGAGGATCGTTGCGAGTCTGACACCAGCCTGGGCTACAAAGTGAGCTCAAGGCCAGCCTGAACTGCACATCGAGACCCTGCCTCAAAAAAGACAAAAAAATGAGTGCAGCTTACTGAACTTACTCTGCTCAGAGACGCAGGAAAGAGAAACAAGAGCAGTGCCCTCAATGACTCAGATAAAAGGCTTCCACCCCATGAGGCTTGAGGCTGTGAAAAGGAGGCTCATGTCACAGCTTTCAGGCCAGAAGCTCAGTGATACTGTAAAAAGTAGCTCTTCATAAGGTTAATTTGTTTTGCTTTTCTTTGCTGTACTGGGATTTTTGCAGCATTCTACCACCGAGCCACAATCCCAGAACATCAAAAGGTATTTCCTGATAATTATGATGAAATAATTTAAGTACTGAGTTGTACAAAAATGACACACACACTCTCTGCACAAAACATACCAACTAGTGCTTTCAAATAAAACTTTTGCTGAGTCACCCAGTTAATAATTCATCTCATTTACAAAGAATTCTGCCAGCCTCAGTCAGGTAAGTAAAAGACCTTTGCCTCGAGTATGACAGGTATTAAATAGAACAAAACAACCCCTCATCCACTAACACATCTGAGACGGTCACATACTTACCGTAGGCTTGGCTAACTTTGGCCTGTCATCCTGCAAAAAATAAAAAGAAGAACATTATGTAGTAATGAAACATCTACAGCTTCATTCTTTTGAGAATTGTTTTAAAATTACTATTCAGCAATTAGCATTTTGGGCTCAGCATTTCATTGTTAAACACAAAATCTGATGGCTTCATAGCAGATAATAAGCAATTTCATGGCAATAAGTATTTTCTATGTAGAGTTCCAAAAACTGGTATTTGTGACAGTCCTAATCATTTGTAGATGTGAGTGGGCATTTATGGGTTCTGAACTGGGATCCTTAATTTGAGGAGCAGCTGAAGACCTGATTCCTTTCTTCTCTCCTAGCAAATTACCTTCGAGATGATAGCTCTTATTCATGTGAATCCCTGTCATTTTTCATAAACTATTTGAACTTCTGGCTGAAGTGTATCACCAAAGGTGTCTACAGCTGCAGGTACACCCAGCAGGACAGGGTAAAGCAGAACCACTGCAGACACAGCCCGAGTCTCTTTCTCCCCCTGCTCAGCCACTGGATGGGGAGAAGGATAGCTGCACCTCTCATCACTATGAAACCATTTCACTTTTACGGAATTATACAGATGAAAATATATAGGCAAACAAACTTTCCAACAGGTGAGATATATTTCTTCAAAATATTTACTTCCTACCACCAAAACAAACAAATCACTCCTCCTCATTCAATGGAGGTTGTCCTAAGATAGATTTCCTACTTCTGGGCCTTCTGCAAAAAGCCCAATACAACCTTTCCTTCATTTACAGTCATTAAAAAGCATTATTTACATCCAATTTTTTGTGTACATTTTAAAATCTTTTCTGCAGTGTGATCACTTGGGATAAGGTGATCAGCTGATGTGTCTCATTAGAGAAAACTGCATGCTTCTGGCAGCTCCTCTTACCCTGGCTGCTGCTTGTGATGTATGAGAGCCAGGGAAGCAGAAAGGAATCAGATACTGTCTTAAAGCAGAAGGTAGCTTAGCACGTGGCCTGGTACTCACTATCTACTCTGAAATCCAGAAAACCGAGAGGTGCCCTAAGTCTTCACATGTGCGTACAATAAGTTAGCTGACTGACTGCAGAGTCCATGTTGGTCATTTAAATTTGCTGCAGTAGGATCTAACTTCCTATCACAGCCCTGTGTTTATATAAAAGCCAAATGGGGCCAGCAGTTTCAAAAGTCAGAGAATACGCTGGGACCAAAGGTCTGGGGGTGGGACTGGGGGTGGAGGTGAACAGAAAGAGGATAATATACTGTTTTACTAAGACAGAACCTATTTGTTTAATGTAACACTGCCCTAAAATAATTTTTTAGAATTAAAATATCCTCAGACTAATGAAAGTAGAAATAGGATTTCTTAAGAAAAACATCTTAGTCAAAAAAACAAGGAAAGGAAGCTCTGCTGGCTTGACAGTACCTTTGCAAATGCTGTTTGGTGAACTTTCACCAAAGCCTGAGCTTTCTCCTGCCCAACACAGGGACTTGGGGCTAGAGCATTCCGACTCAGAGATAGTGAAAAATGCAACCAGTGAAATGCAATGCACATTCAGGTTGATTTACTTAGGAAAAAAAATAGTGTTCTCAAGTCAGGAGTTGCTTTTATCTAATTTGTGTTAACTTTTGTGTAGATACAAATCTTTGCTTGGGTGAGGTCCAGTAGTGTTAGAAACAAAAGAACTCCAGAAACTTACGGGGTGGACTTCCCCAATGATAAATGTCTTAGACAGTTCTCTAGCATCGGTAGAATGACCAACATCTTCAAAATTCTCCGTAGCATCACCCCCAGCTTGTTCTCTTAAGACTTCTTCCCCACCAGGATGCTGCAGAAAGGAGAGTGAGAATGAAAGTTAGTATTTTTCCAGGAAAATTAAAGAAATGACAAGCTTATTTACCCAACAGGTTACCCAGAAGTCAAGAGATGACACGGTGACTGCAACTGCCCATCATGTACAGTAAACACTTACTTATGCACTTGGTGCTTGTCATGAAAATGCAGCAGCCCCCACCTGTTACTCTATCCCGTGTTCACACTGCAGCACAAGCTCCATGCAGGTGTCATGAACATTTTGATAAGGTCTGCTTTGCTTGGCCATGAAACCATCGGGACTGTTCCTCTTTACTCTACACTAGCAAAAAGAGCTTCATTATGTTTGTGTTATGACTAAGTTATATGACCAAAGTACCTGTAACGGCCACCATACTGTTCTTTTCCTGGGTGACCTAATTGATATGTTAATCAATGCTCCCCTCTATAAAGAATTGTAAGTCCCTGGGAACCTGACCTAATTGATATGGTAACCATTGCTGCCCTCTACAAATAACAGATGTTATCTAAAATTGTGTGCTAAAATAAGTTGACAAAGGATTGCTAATTCCTGCTAGACTTCTCTGTCCTCTGCAAAGGGAAAATAAAGGTCTTCCTCATTCCTTAGCAGATTTCCTGATCCATGGCCATAACCCCTTACTTTGTAAATTGTGCTTTCTACAAAAAGTCTGGGAAGTTTTGAGGGAGACACACGGCTTTTGCAAACTCCAACTGCACTGTGTCACTGGGCCCAAGATAAAATAAATCAGCGCTGCTTTTTTTTAAAAAAACATGTCTCACCACACTTTTGGACTCAAGGTTGGGGGCTCTGGGGGCTTGTTTGTGGATTACAAGATTTAGGGGCTCATCAGGGAGTACTGAGGGACCTCCTCCAAATTATTTTTTCACCCATTGATCGGCTAAACATCTGTAAGTATTTGGGGTTTTTTTTTTTTTTTTTTTTTTGGCCTGTTTGTAATCTGAGTGTGCACATTTGTAACTGCAGATAGAATGAGACAACTTTCGGGGGCTTTTTTTGCTCGTTTGTAATTTAGGGCTTTGGGGCCTATTTGTAACTTTGGGCTTCGGCCTGTTTGCCTGTTTGTAACTTGGATGTGTGCAGTGACTGCAGACGAGCCCAGTGCTCCTTCTGCACTGGATTCTGGGGGCTCTCGCCCGTTTGTAATGTGTATGGCTTAGGCCCATATCTGTGGCCTAGGCTTGTGTGGGGGGCCTAGGCCTGTGTGGGGCATTGAGGCCCATTTGTGTTTTGGGGCCCGTTTTCATCCATTTGTCTCTATGTTCAATTTTTGTACTTTGGAGTTGTCCACCTGTTTGAATTTGTTACTAACTTAGGGGTTCGTTGTCCATTTCTGTTGCAGGATCCATGCAGCTTATCAGACTCAAGGTTCATAATAAAAATTATTTCCCTTTTATCTCGCCAAACTATGGACAGAAAAACTTTCGTTTGTGTCTTTAACGTTGGTCTTGTTTTTTGTGGTGCCTTGTTTAATGTTTTAGTCCTCAACTGATTACTTGCAATCTCGGCATGCCTTTAAAAAGTATTTTTCTTTCTGGTTAAAATGTGAATATATGTGCACACACACACACACACACACACACACACACATACATATATATATATATATATATATATATATACACACACACACATACACTTACAGGTTTTAAAAATCATATGAACTTTCCCAAGTAAAATCAGATCATACTGTAATTGAGCCAGTTAAAAAAGTTATAGTTTTTTAAAGTACAACATTTAAGGTGGTAAAAAGACAAAACGATTAAATATGTTTTAGACTACTCAAAGAAAGTCACTTCAAAGATTTTGTTAAAGGTTTTAATGTTGTCTAAAAAGCAAGAGAAAAAGTAATTGACTGGTATTAAATAAAAAAAAGTGGTTTTGTCTTAAAGTAAAAATGTAAAAGAGAAAATGCTTTCTGTGGCATGGCTATTGTTGGGGGCTCTTAGCCAGCTTTATGTTGCAAATCAAGAGCAAAGAGCTCAACAGGATAATTTGCAATACTGTGAGTCTGGCCAGGAAAAAACAATCCCAGGAATGCTATAGATTATAAAGACAGAGTTGTGATTTTGATTGCTGGGGAAAAACAAACAAACAAACAAAAAAAGCAGTGTGCCATCCAGATGAAACCTGCCCTCTGATCCAGAATGCCAGAACCATGTTTTCCTTTTGTCCCACCCCAACTGGACAACCAGAGGTAAGGAGGCTCTCAATCGGTATTGCCAGTTGTTCTTGGTAGCCATTAGGCACCCCAGAAAACCCACCAATTTGCCCAAGATAGCAGAGGTGAGGCAATTGGCTAATAAGTCTCCCTCAGGGTTTTCTGAAAAGATTGCAAAAGGCCTATCACATTTATACACCAGTAGCACCTAAAAATGCAAGGGCCATTAATATTGCCTTTGTAACCCAGTCAGGCCCTGATATTAAATGAAAATTGCAAAAGTTTGAGATTCGAGGGAATGCCCTTCAGTCAGTTATTAGAGGTTGCTTAAAAGATATTTGACAACAGGGAGGCCCCTAAAGACTAGGCTTAAGAGGTTTCTGCTGGGCAGGACTGCATTGGTTGTTGGACTCTTCATAAAGAAAAATAAAGACTCTTTCCTCCCAGTGGATGCAAGCCATCCAACAGATTCCAGTCCCTGTGACTAAAAAGCAAGTGCAAGAATTTCTAGGAGCCACAGGACTGACCCAGAGTTTGGGACCCTGGCAGAGGCCTGTTGCCTATCTTTCCAAGAGACTTGATTATTTGGCAGCCAGATGGCACCTTGTCTGCGGGTGATTTCCTCGGTGGCTCTCCTGGTAAAGGAGGTTTAAAAATTGACTTTTGGATAGAAACTCTTAATTGTTCCCTCCTATTCGCTGCAGACTCGCATCAAAGCTCCACTAGACTGATGGCTGCCCAATTCTCAAGTTATGCATTATCAGGCAATACTTCTAGATCTGACTACTATCAGTTAAGGGGACAGTGACTTCAAACCCTGCTACGCTGCTGCCTGATGATGACCCTTCCTTGCCCCTCCACAACTGTATTGGGGACCAGACTTGACAGATGAGCCACTATTCAGAGTTCCTTTGTATTTCTCCGATGGAAGCAGTTACAGCTATCAAGGTAAGCGGGTCATGGGAGCTGCCGTTACCACAGACTCTCAGATTCTATGGGAACCAACCTTGGAGCTGGGAACATTGGCCCAATGGGCTGACTCATTGCCCTCACTGAGGCCCTCAAGTTGTCAAAGTATGCATTTGTTTCTGCCCATGTTCATGGGGCCACTTATCAAGAATGGTGTTTATTGACTTCTGGGGCCAAAAGATTAAAAATACTCCCCAAATTTTGGATTTGTTGGCTGCAATCTAGATGCCAAGGAGAGTGGCTATTATCTGCTGTACAGCCCTTGAGCGGGAGATGGCCTTGTTATATGAGAAAATAATTTAGCAGATGCCACTGCCCAAAAGGCAGCCACAAAATCAGTGGCAAATGAGATAGCCCTGACATTACTGCTGATCCCACCTACTTTGTCAGAGCCTATTTACTTAAAAAGACTTGCATTTGGCAGGTCAACTTGAGCAATCCCTGGGGGCTAATATCAAAGCTTGCCCAGTCTGTGAGCCTCAGATGACCTCAGTGCCAATTGGTGAACCCAAAGCAACCACTCACTATGTGGGACTATGGCTAGAGAACATTGGAGACTTTACAAAAATGGAAAAGCCTGGACTTCAAGAAAATAAGTACTTATTAATAATGATAGATATTTTTCACTAGATGGGTTAAAGCGTTGCCTACTAAGTCTGAGTCAGCCCTGATAGCAGTTTCCCCGATTTGGCCTCTCCTTATCCATGGGGTCTGACAATGGTCTGGCTTTTATACCCCAGATAACTCAAAAACTAACCTAAGCTTTGCAAATCAATTGAAAACTCCATTGTGCTTACTGGCCTCAAAGTTCAGGACAAATAAAAAGGATGAATCAGACTTTAAAGACGGTAATAACTAACGGCTTTAAAAACTGGTGAAAACTGGGTGAGTCTCCTTCCTTTTTTGCCCTTTTGTGTGTGCAGTGTATCCTCTGTGTTACTGGTATTTTCCCTTTCTAAGGCTTTACATGAGAGGCTTCCTCCTCTTATCCCTAAGATTTCTAAAAAAACATTAGCTGATTTAGCTAATCAAGATCTTATTAAGTCCCTCCTAGGCCCTTCAGCCAGTTCTGACTTCCATCCACTGGTTATTTCATCAACAACATCCTCTGCCTGCGGCCCACTGTGAGGACAAATGCCCTGCTGTAGAGCCTGGGACACCGGTCCTTATCAAAAGGCTTCACTGTAAATCTCTTGAGCCGTGATTGGGAAGGTCCCTACACTGTAGTCCTCAGCACTCCAACCTCTATCAAAATAGCCAAAAAGCCTGCATGGATTCATCATTCCCACTTCAAGCCGGTCCCGGCCTCCTAAGGCGATCACCCTACAGATAAGTGGACTGTCGTTCCCTCCAAGGATTCTTTAGAAGCTTAAGATTGCCAAAGGTAGCTGATAATCTTGTGTTTTCCCTTATGGAGACTCCAAGGAGGCCTCTGTCTGGCTAAAAAAAATTTTTACTTGTATGCGAATCATTCTGAAGTCATCAGACAAAACAGAGTTAATTTAAATGTTGGTTTTCTTTCTCCTTTTGGTTAACAGCTTTAATAATGGCAGCTGCAAGACCTTTGTTAATCTTCCTGTTGGGCCTTATATTGTAAACAAGTTGGTAAACTATGTCAAAGATCAGGTTCAAACTATAAAGCTTATGATTTTAAAGACACAAGGTCTGAAAACCCCATGAGCCAATGATTTGGATCACTGACTAAAATAAGTGGGGAATGCTGTACACTAGCAAAAAGAGCTACATTATGTTTGTGTTATGCCTAAGTTATATGACCAAAGTACCTGTGACACCGCCACACTGTTCTGTATGCATCCTTTCTTTTTCTGGGTGACCTACTTGATAT